GGCTGTAAAAACCTAAGCCCCCCTGCATCCTCCAAGGAGAGCTCAGGAAAGGCTTGCTTCACTGGCCCCCTCCCGTTTCCCTCTCCCCATTACCCCGTGGATCATCCAGAATGGTGATGCCTGCCAGTTCTGACGTCTGAGGGTTGCTGCTGTCCACAGCAGGCACCTGCAGGGGCTTCTCTGCTTCCATCTCCCTCTGCTTCTTCAGGTACTTCTTGCAGTCCTCGTCTGTGAGGAGAGAGACAGCAGGCTCACTGCAGCTTCCCTGCTTTTCCATCGTTGGAGGCCATGACTGGATACTGGCCCTTCTAATGCAAGAAGCCTTTCCCAGCCCTCCCTAATCTTAGTGCCTTCTCTGGTGACTATAGCCAGTGACCGGTCTATATCATGTTTATTTGCACGTGGTCCCCCCTACCAGAATGTGAGCTTCCGGAGGGCAGGGCTGCTTTGGGCTTTTGTTTTGGTTTTGCCTTCTTAGCACAGTGCTAAGTTGCTAAGGCGTCACGATTCAGCCCAAAGCCCACCTTCGGCAGGAAGCTTTTCCCAGTCTGTCCTCTGCCTCACAGGCAGCACTCTGAGTTCACCTCCCATTTATACTGTTCCTCCTTGCTTAGATGCTGTCCATCCCCACTGGGTTCCTAGAAGCCAGGGGCTGGTTTTGCTTTTCTTTGTATTCACAGCAAGTGCCTGACACAGAGTTAGGACTGAATAAATGACCAGCTTCTGTCCTGTGTCATTAACGGTGTAGTTTGGGAAAAGTTCACAGGGCTCTGGAAAGCTTTATAACTGATTGAATGAATTTGCCCAGTTGGAATTTCATCACTGGGGAGGTTCTTGATAGATCATCTACTACAACCTCCTCATTTTACAAAACAGGAAACTGAGGCCCGCGAACGTTACGGAGGCAGGAAATGGCAGGGCTGAGATGCATACCTACAGGCTCCAGGTCCAGAGGCTCTACCCCGCTGCCTGAGAGGAGAGGTTCCATGACTCATCCATCATCGCCACACAGCTGGTAAGGGTCAGAGGCTCCAGATCTACCACTCCTCATGCAGCCCACTGGTCTCAGTTCTGCCCTCCTCCCAGCCCTATAGTCCTCAGGCCAAACACACACTAACAACAGAGCTCTCTGTTGGGAGGCTATGGGGAATCATGAAAAGAGGTAGCTGCGTGACTTTAGAGAAGTCACCTCCCCTCTCTGGGCTTCCGCTGTAAAATGAGGTGGCCAAATTCAATGGTCTCCAAGCACCTTTCCACTTCTAACATTCTGAGACCAGAATGAACCTTTTACTGGGAGTTCTCATAAAAATCCTGGGTTACATTCTCCACTCCTGAAGCAAGTCTCCTGCCACTGGAAGGGCAGATGGGCTATTCTGGCCTGGAATCAGAAAGGGAAACTGCCTACAGAAGAGAGGGCAAGGAACCCAGGAAAGTGCCAGGCCTAATTGGGCAGCCAAATCAGGAGGAAGCCACAGCCCAGGCTGTCCCCTTGGCTACATCCTTCCTGCCTCTTTGACTCAGCTCAAGAATGTCCTCCTTCCCCTTTCCCATTTGCCCCTGCCTCACCTGCTGGTGTGCGCCTTCCTGAAATCTCCTTATATGGATTCTGCCTAAACTCACATACATGTCCATAGGATCACAGAATGGAAGCTTGCTGAAGGTGGGACTGCTGCACTTTGGTCTTTGAAAATCAAGGGCCATAGGGGCGGCTAGGTGGCGCAGTGGATGGAGCACCGGCCCTGGATTCAGGAGGACGTGAGTTCAAATTTGGCCTCAGACACATAATACTTACTAGCTGTGTGACCCTGGGTAAGTCACTTAACCCCATTGCCTAGCCCAAATTTTTTTTTTTAAAATCAAGGGCCTGCACAGAATTTAGCATGACGAAGGGACCTAATAAGTTCGACTGAATGAGTGAGTGAGACAAGCTGGCAAATGCTTTTTGAATGCCCAGGGCAGGGAGGGGGGGCCAAAGAGAAAATGGTCTGGGGTCTGAATGTTTAATGGAGAAATGAATGAATGGGGGACGGGAGGACTGAGTGGCAGAAGAAATCAATGACTTGAGGAGTGAATGAACCCAGGTCCCCTTCAGTTAATGAGAAGAATCAAAGACCAGCTTTTTGATGGTGCTTTTATCTTTGAGAAGTTTTCTAATTACTTTAATTAACTTTTCTTTTTGCTCTGGATAATTGAAAAGTTAATTCTACATAGAGTGAAACCACCTTAATGAAAACCTGAGTCAGCTGGGGGCACCCCCACTCCAGGGTAGGAGACTCCTTCTTAGACATCCCCCAGACACACACACACACACACACACACACACACACACACACACACACACACACACACACACACACACACACACACACACACACATCTGGCCCTCCCTCTGCCTGGATGGAAACATTCCCTCTTCTCTATTCACAGTCTGTGTTTCATCCCCGTGAGCTGCCCGGTAACCATCATGTGTGTGACCACATGCCTGTTTGCACCCCCTGGGTCTCCAGCCCTGGTGGGGCCCCCTGAGGGTGGGCAGGCTGGATAGATTAATCTCTCTTGCTCTAAGCCCAAGCAGCAGTTGATGGGCAGTGATAAAGAAGACTGAAGTCAGCTCTAGGCCCCACACCCCTCCCAGCTGCTTCTCGGGATGTTCTTATTTCTGCTGAGAAACCAGAGGTCATCCTACCAGCCCCCCACTCAGAACCCCGGAGACAATTTTGACTCAGTTCTCTTCTTCACCCCAGCCCATGCAACCGGTAACTAAGTTCTGCTGTTTCTGCCTCAGCAAAGCTTCTCAAAGCCAACCCATTTCCATCTCCTTGTTACCATCACCATATATATGAGCTCTAATGAGCCTGGGATAAGTGGGGCTTTGCTTCTGTCCCTGCAGGTGGGCCAGCCTCTCTCCTCTCCCTCCCCAGAAGCAGCAGCCCCTCTCTGATTCATCTGGGTAACACCTTCTCTCCTGACAACACCTCTCTGGCTAGGGAGAAGGAACACGGGGCCCAGATATTGCATATTGCATAAATGACCACCAAGGCCTGGCCAACACCAAGAGGTTATCAACTCCCTACATCACTGGGCCAGGATCCATGAGCTGTGTGGTTTTTTTTTTTTAATGTTTTGGCATTCTATTATATATATAATTATTTCCTTTGTAATTCCAAGTGTTCTATGCACACATGATTCTGAGAAGGGGTCCATGACCTTCACTAGACTGTTGCCCAAGGAGCCCACAGCACAAAGGAAGGGAAAGATCCCTTGAGCACCATTCTGTCCCCCATTCAGATGCATTTGTCTTCACTACTTCTTACTTATGGTCCTAATTACTTCATGGGAAGCTAAGTGGTGCTGCAGTGGATAGAGCTCAGGACTTCAAGTTAGAAAGACTTCCTGAGTTCAAATCTGGCCTCAGACACTTACTAGCTGTGTGATCCTGGGCAAGTCATTTAGCTGTGTTTGCCTCAGTTTCCTCATCTGTAAATGGAGACAGAAAAGGCAAACCACTCCAGGATCTTGGCCAAGAAAACCCCAAAGGGGGTCACGAAGAGCCAGACAGGACTGAAATGCCTCAACAACAGCTTCTTACTGGACTTTAAATGACGACCCCATCACAGAGGCGATCTGAGGGCCGGCCCTGGTCAGTGCTGCTCACCCCAGCTGCCCAAAACTCTAGTTACAGCTGGGATGGCCACCCTTTCCATTTGGTTCTCTCATCTTCTGTGGGACTTGGCTGTGGATTCTGTGGCCTCCAAGGTCACCCCCAGCTCTATGTTTATGACCCTGTCGGCCATCCTTCACAGGAATGGCAGACTCATCTACCTCGAATACTGCCCTGGTCAATAATATTCAATGGCTCCCCATTCCTGGGCAAATTCCCAGGCCAACTTTAGTAGCATTATTTAACCAGACCTGAGATTCCACTGATATGGGCAACTCTCAGTGAGGAATGTGTCTCTACCAGTGAAAATCTAGCAGCTGTCAGGGAATTTTTAGTTCTAGTTGCCAGGGGCATCGAGAAGCTACGACTTGTCCAGGGTTACCCAGCCAGCCTGTGTCCAAGGATGGACTTGAACCCAGGTCTTCCTGACTCCAGGCTGACTGTTCATTACATCTCCACTGCCACTCTCCACCTCAGAGCCTACCATGTTGCTTACAGTCTCTCAGACACAGCCTCATGCCCATTCCCATGTGAAATTGTGGCCATCTTTCAGTACTGATCTCAAATAATACGACTTAAACCTTCATAGGATTTGAGACAGGAAACCCGGAGGAAAAAAATGGCCCAGATGCTTTGTGTCTGAACTGGCTGGGCTTTGAATCCTAACTCTTTTTAACATACCAATAATGATATCTGCTCTCAAAAGCCTTCCTGGGCCTCCTGGCTAGATGTGCTCCCTTCCTCCTCTGAGCTCCCCTAGAAGCTCTGAACCTTTCTTAGGATATAGTGCCTGACACATAGTAAGCACCATGAGTATGCTGGTAAATTGTTAACAACTGGCTCTTTGAACAAAATGTATGCACAACACATTTTTAAATTTCAGTTTCATTATTACCATTTTTCTCCACCATTTCTCCATCATCACCATCTTTCTCTTTCTTAAGTTTAGATAATCAACAAAACAATAAATCATGGTTTAAGGAGGAAATACTCAACTGGGGTATGGAAATCTATGGGGGGGGAGGGGATAAGAAAGGGGGAGATGATGGAAGGGAGGGCAGATTAGGGGAGGAGGTAATCAGAAGCAAACACTTTTAAGGAGGGACAGGGTCAAAGGAGAGAATAGAATAAATGGGGATTGGGATAGGAGGAATGAAAATATAGTTAGTTTTTCACAACATGGCAATTATGGAAGTGTTTTGCATGACTACACATGTATAACCTGCATCGAGTTGCTTGCCTTCTCAATGAGGGTGGGTGGGCAGGGAGGAAGGGAGAGAATTTGGAACCCAAAGTTTTAAAAACAAATGTTAAAAATTGTTTTTACATGCAACTGGGAAATAAGATATATAAGGACTGGGGTGCAGAAATCTATCCTGCCCTATAGGAAAATAGAAAGGGGAGGGGATAAGAGAAGGAGGGGTGATAGAAGGGAGGACAGATCAGGGGAAGGGATATTCAGAATACATGCAGTCTTAGAGTGGGGGAAGGGGGAGAGATAGGGAGAAAATTTGGAACTCAAGATCTTGTAGAAGTGAATGTTGAAAACTAAAAATAAATAATAAAA